TTACACACACGCCCACTCGTGTGCTATACACACGCCCGTGTACACGTCCGTTCATCTGCTTTTCCCGAGGCTCACATCACACATCCCCCGTGCACACACGCACGCACACGCGAGCCTGCCACCCCCACGCAACACCATTCCTCACCCCACCCCCCGGCTCACACATCCTCAGTGCCACCGAGGGCTCCGCTGGCCCACGCAAAAGCAGCCCCCCACGGAAGGGGCACAGGAGTGCCAGGCAGCCGGGGTGTCGCCCGCAGGAGCCAGGTCCCTCGCTGCATGTTAATGACTTCATTAATTAATTTCACTGCCCACATCACCCCTCCCCGGGCGGCGGCTCTCGCGGGGAGCCGTGCGCTGCCAGGCTCCGCGGGCCGCCCGGGAGGGGGCCCTGTCCGCGGTTTCGCGTGGGTTCGGGGACCGGGGTCACTCGCTTCCCCTTCCCCGGTGCCCCAGGGGCCCAGCCCGGCCGCTCACCACGTGCTCTCTGTTGTTGCTGCGCTTGCCATTCCAGGAAGCGGGCCGCCTCCAGTAGCGTCTCTATGCTCATCGCGCCGAGAGCTGCCGGGGGCGCGCCGGGGCCGAGGCTGCGGCCCGCGAGCCGGGCACAGGTCAGGCTGGCGGGCAGGCAGGAGGGAGGGATCACCTCCGGGGGGCGACAGGGCTGGGCGGCGCAGTGCACTCCGCAGGGAAGAACGGGGGAGCACGGGGAGAAAAATCAATGTCTCTCAAAATATTTGCAAAATATAAAATTGCAAATTTAAAAAAAAGGGTGCAAAAAAAAAAAAAAGGCGGCACTGCCTCCCTTCTTCCCCTCCCTCTCTACCTCCCTTCCGATGCCTCCCGCCCCGCGGCCCCCGGGAGTCCCGCCGACAAGAAAGGGCTTTGCAACAAGATGGCGAGGAGGCACCGACACACACAACAAGGGAAGGAGCCGCGCTGCCCCCGGCCGCCGCCCCCGCTACTACACCGGGGCCACAGCCAAAGCCCGGACCGGAGCCCCCGCCCGCAGGGCCGCGGCGTCTCGCGAAGGGAGGGGCGGATCCTGCGCTGCTGGCCCCGCCCACCGGAGCCGGCGCGCGCACACGTGGCCCAGGCAGGGAGGGAGAGGTCAGAGCCGGGTGTGCGCGCCGTGGTTCCGCTTTCCAGCTGGCCCCGCCCCTGCTGCAAGCCACAAGTTGGGCCGGGGCGGCGCGTTTGGGTCGTTCACGACGAAATCTGTCCTGCTGGAGGGAGGGAAGGATGAACAATTCAAGATTTAACAGAGCTCCAATCAGGATATTCCGGGTCAGGGAAACCTTGGGAATGGCAGAGACTGGCCTGACCCTGGGTCTCCACGCTCCACCCACTCGCGACCTAAATCCCGCAATCGCCCGGCTGTCGCAATTCCCCCGGGATCCGCCCCTGGGCGGAGCTGCCGGCGGCTGGAGACTGTCAGAGAACCAGCGGAAGGAGCGGAGCGAGAGTCCGGCTCCGCGTTTTGTCTCCGTTCCTCCCCCCGCAGTGCGTTCGCATCCTATTAGGCGACGTCACCGGGCTGCGGGCCAATGGGCGGGCAGGACAACACGGCATGGAGCAGCTCCACATGGACACCCCGCGCCGCCAGCCTTCGGTTTAAAGGGCCAGTGTCTGCAGGTCACATTCGCGGGTGCGGATGGGGCCACTGGGCGAACCCAGGGTGGGACGCCGTAAGGGAAATCCCGCAGTCATGCCCTGGCCTCCCCATTCCTTTTCGCCACCCTCCATTTAAAACCAAACCTTTATCTTTCCTTCCCCTAAACCCCAGTCTTTGTCCACGCGTATTCGATGTGGGTGGAGACACAGACTGTGCCACTCCATGGGCCACCCTTTGCTCTGGGGCCGGGGCCCGGGCAGGGAACACTAAGCGCCCGCAGCCAAGGCCCTGGGGGCGTGGCCCAAATCGGGAACAACAACGTGGAGGGCGGAAGCCCGGCCCTCCCCGCGCCTGGCGACCGGCAGTGGGCGGGACGCGGGGGCGGGGTCCGCTGCGTCCGGCTGGAACCGCGCTTCCCAGAGGGAGGGACCCCGTCGCCCGCCCGCTCGCCTGCTTCTTCCTGGCGCGAGTGTTTGGGGAGCCCGGGTGCAGTCGGAGAGTTAGTCCTTCGAGGCCGGCGGGCCCTAAATCCTCTCACTTCACAGATAAGGAAACTGAGGCCGAGACGGCCAAGGACTCGTCTAAGGTCGTTCCGTATTCCACCTGCTCCTCTCCCCCAAACGGGGAGTACTCCCCCTGACCCCAGGGACGACTCTGAAGCCAGTTCTGGGGGAGGGCCCGCAATTAGAAAAATGCCAGGGAGGAATAGCAACCCTGACCACTTAATACACTGTGATTGGGGCAACAAAAATCTTCACCTGAGACCCCACTCTGCTGTTCTGCTTCCTCGGTGGAAGCCACACGAACCCCACTGGTACAGCGGCAGCGATAGACCCCCGGAGGCTGAAAACTTATTTGGAGCATCCCGGAGCGTGTCGATTGTGCTGTGCCAGTGCGGGGGAAGTACACTCAGTTCTGTCCCCAGGCCCCTTTCTTTGCTAACCGGTCCAAGAAGTGGGGGGCAGTCAGTGCCAGTGGGTTTAGAACTCCACATCCGCGGCTTCGCCATCACACAGACCCAGAAAGCAAACCTTCATGAGGCGGAGAGGCAGGCCGCCCTGCCAATCCATTCCGTCACATGGCACCCTCGGAGCGTTCCTATTTTAGGGACTGGTTGGAAGAGAGCTAGAAACATAGAAAGAGGGCAAAATGTTTGCTGGCTTTGCTCCTTTCCTTTGAGGGCATCGTAATGCATCCTGGGGGGAAAAAATCTGCACAGATCCTGGAAATCAAGAACTCCGTGAACCACAGGAAGGGGGCTGTTTGCCAGCGCTAATCTACAGAGTCCTCTGATCTTTTCACATTTAATGCCCCAGCATCTAGAGGCGAGCATGGAGAGGTCGCCACACACACAAATGTCCAGGTGGGTACCACTGATTTTGCTTATGACGAAGCTGGAGCAAAGGCGGATTAGAACGGAACAGCCCAGTTCTTCCCCATGGAATGGATGCCCCTTTGCTGGGAGGGCTAGATCTGTGCTGGCTCCAACATTGCTTCCTTTAAGGTGTCTGCCACTTGCCACCAGTATGCTTGGGCCTTTGCACAACTAGAGAAAATGGGAAATTAAAAGGCAATATATATTACAGGCGGCAGTGGAACAGGGACTCTGAACAGTATACAGACAGTCCCTGACTTGTGATGGCTCGACACAGGACTTTTCAAGTTAGCAATGGTTGTAAAAGAGAGAATCTAGCGTGCGCTCCTCGATTTGGGATGGGATTATGGCTGGTGAAACCCGTCCTAAGTGGAGCCGCATCTGTACGTGATAGTGACCTGAGATAATGCTGTCGGGCAAGTTCTTATTTTGTGTGAGGTCAGCGCCGTGGTGCGCAGTGCTCCGTCCAGCTGTCCCTTCCTGCTGTCCTCAGGTGGCCATGCACTCGGGCAGTCCTGGAGTTTCTGCTGAAGGCTGAGGTTTAATTCTCTGTACTCTTCTTTGTCATTGCCCAGGTCTATACCATTAAGTAGGCACCTCTCTGAAAAGCAGTATTCTTAAGACGCTGTTCGCTTCAGGGGTGAGGAAGCAGGAGGTAAGAGTAGAGTGAACACGGATTTGAATGCCAGCCTCTCCATTGCCCCCAATACCCCATCTGCTCCAGAGCTTAGCGGAGATGTTTGCTATTTAAAACAAACAGCCTTCCTGGCTTCACATGATCATCTGTTTATTTGGGTCATGTGGGGACAGCAGCCAGGGGATGTTAGGCAAAAACAAGGGTTTAGAAGGGAGGCTGCAGGCTGGGCGCGGTGGCTCACGCCTGTAATCCCAGCACTTTGGGAGGCCGAGGCAGGTGGATCACTTGAGGTCAGGAGTTCGAGACAATCCTGGCCAACGTGGTGAAACCCTGTCTCTACTTAAAAAAAAAAAAGAAAAGAAAATTAGCTGGGCGTGGTGGCGGGTGCCTGTAATCCCAGCTACTGGGGGTGGTTAAGGCAGGAGAATCACTTGAACCCAGGAGGCAGAGGTTGCAGTGAGCCGAGATCGCACCACCGCACTCCAGCCTGGGCAACAGAGAGAGACTCTGTCTCAAAAAAAAAAAAAAAAAAAAAGGCAGGGAGGCTGTTTCTGGGCCTGTTGTTGCGTACAGGAACCTGAAAATGGCCAAAAAGAATACTTCATCAACCAAGCTTTCCCCAGTTGGGGAGTGGACAGTGGGGGTGGGAGATACCTATAAACAGGGATGTGAGGGTCTGAAAGGAGAGGGGAATGAATAGGAGGGCTGTTCAGCATTTTAGCCCCAGCTTCCTGTCCAAGCGGGTCGGGTGGAGCCAGGATAGAAGCTGGCAACTGTACTCACTCAAGAGAAAGAGAAGTAAGTCTTTTTGGTTTCAGCAGAAAGGTTAGCAGGTTTGGGGAATTATCCAAAGGCCAGCAGTCTCTAAAAAGGTGTTCCTTTTCTTTTTTTGAGATGGAGTCTCTCTCTGTCGCCCAGGCTAGAGTGCAGTGGTGTGATCTTGGCTCACTGCAACCTCCTGGGTTCAAGTGATTCTCCTGTCTCAGCCTCCGGAGTAGCTGGGATTATAGGCATGCACCACCATGCCTGGCTTATTTTTGTGTTTTTAGTAGAGACGGGGTTTCACCATGTTGGCCAGGCTGGTCTCAAACCCCTGACCTCAAGTGATCTGCCTGCCTTCTCCCAAAGTGCTGGGATTATAGGAATGAGCCACCGCGCCCAGCTGTTCCTAAGTTTCTTCATGGCTTCTAGGTGTTTAGTACCTTTGAGCAGGAGAAAAGCTGGCTGTCCATCATGGTGACTTTCTCAAGAGACGCTTTCCATTTTCAGTCTTCCTCCCCAAGTCTTGTGCACCCCACCCCCCAGTTCAAATTTTGTTATGTCCTCCAATTTTTTAATCTTTTATTCTTTTTTCACCAACCACAATAAGAAGCACCAATTCCCCAATTTTTTAATATGCTGAGCCAGAGACATCCCCTTAGTGAAACTGTCTTCTTATCCCCCCACCACTCACCCAACAAAGTATCAACTCCCAGAGCTACTAAAATCAGTGCCGACCCCTCCAAAGCCTGAGTCATGAGATGGGGGAAAGGGCGTGAAGCCAAAAGTACAGGTGTTCACAGTAGGTCCCAGAAGGTGTCCCAACCCTTCAAGCCTGACGTCTCGTCGTTTGCAAGCAGCTGAGAAGCTTTTCACATGCCATCATTAAAACGAGACCCATGGGAGGAAGCTGGCTGCAGGACGAAGAGGAAGCAACAGAAGACTAGTACACTCAAGACATACCAGAGAAGATCCATTTCATAAAGATTTATTGTGTGCCTGAGGTGCCAAGCACTAGGCTAGGTATGCTGTGGCCACGGCCAGGGGACCTCTGGTAAGCCAGAGTGGGACGAAAGGTCACAGAGCGGAACTCCGCTCCACAGTGATAATTTGCAAAAGATGAGTTTTGCTGTTCACCGCCGTGCGGACGCAGCACCAGAGACAGGACCACACGAGGACCCAGAGGGCGCCGCCGTGCTCATCTGAGTAGAGGCAGCCTCCGTGTCTGTGGGTTCTGCACCCATGGAGGCAACTAACCGTGGATCAAAAATATTCAGGAAAAGAAAAATATTTTAAAAACACAAGAAAAAATAATACAAATTTAAAAACCAACACAGCACAAGAAGTGTTTACACAGCATTTACATGGTATGAGGTATTTGAGGAGCGCAGAGATGAGTTAGAGGATATAAGGGAGGATGCGTGTAGGTTAGAGCATCACCCCTGGACGGGTATTCGGGGGGCTCCAGGAACCAATCCTCACTGGACACTGAGAAGCGACTGTAATCCTGTTTTTCTATGTAGAGATAAAAAGAAATTCAGTGGATTTAAGGCTGGGCCAGTCAGCTGAGCCTGATTCCCCCAGTCTGAATGATGAGCGGGACTCTGAACTCCTTTGACAGAGGTAGACCCATTCAATCATCAGTGAACTGGGGTCCCCACAGCCAGAGGTTTCCACAGGACTCTTTACCTCCTTTCCCCACCCCAAGTGAGTTGTCAGCGGACCTCTCCTGAACTCACAGAACAGGTCCAATCAAGTTCCACTTCCTTATTCATGTCCTTTCCAGAAGGTGGGTGCGGTGGCTCACGCCCTAAGTTCCAGCTACTTGGGAGGCTGAGACAGGAGAATCGCCTGAGCCCAGGATTTCAAAACCAACCCGGGCAACATAGCAAGATACTGTCTCTTAAAAAAAAAAAAAAAAAATTGTAGCCTCACATGATGTCATAGCTGAAGAGTTAGGATCACGGGGTCTGGCCTCCCAAGAGAAGGTGTATCCGAGGTCACAAAGCTGCCAAGCGTCAGCTGGGTTGAGAAGCGGCCTGGTCCTCTTCTTTGGCTGTCTGGGCCAGGCATCAAGTGTGGGGTGGTGAGTCCCTGAAAGCCTCCCAGAAGGGGGTGAAGATGGAGAGGGAACTCCACCCCTCCTAGTTCCAGGCAAGAACAATCATTCACTTTGCTCAGTGGCACCCAATCAACAAGCTTAGCAGATGAGTGGGAAGACAGGGAAAGGGAATCAGACTTGGGGTCCAGGAGCTCACACGACCCCGTTCTGCCCCAGGCCCCTCAGGAATGGAGAGCTGCTAGCCGGGCCTGGGTAGGTCGCCATTACTTACTGGGGCTTTTGTCTGGCATGAAAGGTGACGGGAGAAAGGGGCAGATTTTTATCCAGGCAGCCACCGTGGGTGTGGACACTGAGTAATAAGGAAAGAAATGCAGTTCAGAAGCAAAGAGGGAGGAGCCAGGTCCTCTGAGCTCTTCTGAGAAACCAGAGCCCAGTCAGGCCCTGCAGCTAGAGCGGAGCTGCCGGTGGCAGCGGGTTAGAAGCGTGGCGGGAGAAGGCTGACCCAGCGGAAAGGCACAGGAGATGGACGAGGATGTCAGGGATTCCTTTACAGAAAAAAGAGGTGGTTTTATGACAGCAAAACCAATTCAGGTCAAGGGAGTGGGGCTGGGCAGAAGTTATGAGTAAAGCAGGGTGGAGTCTTGCCATGGGAGTCAAGAGTCCGCTGGATCACGCAGGGGTGGGGACATGGTGATAGGAAAGGCGCCTCCCAGGACTGACGGGCTGCAATGCGATCATGCTCCACACAAAGGACTGAGGTCCATGTCCCAGCAGCCCCAGTTCACACCCAAATGCAAGGCTGTAGGGTCCAATCTTGAAAGCCTGAGAGCTCGGCGGCCTATGCCAGGAATGAGGCTCTCTCCGGAGGCAAGGCCAAGAGCGGTGTCTGGTCACTGGCTGCACAGCCCGGAGCAGATGCCACAGAGCCAGGGCTCAGCTCCAGGTGCACTATGAGACCTCTCCCCAAGGCCCCAGGGCCCACTGGGAGAGGACACACCGCTGCTGCCCAGCCTGCTCCAGTCCCTGTGCCATCAGGGACACCTCAGTGGGGAGTGCTAGAGCTTCCCAGCCACCTCTCTGATGAGCTACCCTGAAACAATGCGGAACCATTTGTTAAAGACAGGTCCGTAAACTTCACACCATACACCAATGTAAATTCAAATGCTAAATGTAAAAAATAAAACCAAAATAGCCGTAATAAAATATAGGAAAACATTTTTCAGCTTTAGGGTGGTGAAGGAGTTTCCACCCATAAAGGCAAACCAAGAAAATATAAAGACACAGTGTGGTAGATTTGATTACCTCTCAAAGCTATAAAAATAAAACAAAATCATCATTCAAGAAAAGAAAAAAAGGGGCCGGGCGTGCTGGCTCACGCCTGTAATCCCAGCACTTTGAGAGGCCAAGGCGGGCGGATCATGAGGTCAGGAGATGGAGACCATCCTGGCTAACATGGTGAAACCCCGTCTCTACTAAAAATACAAAAAATTAGCCAGGTGCGGCGGCGGGAGCCTGTGGTCCCAGCTACTCGGGAGGCTGAGGCAGGAGAATGGCATGAACCCGGGAGGCGGAGCTTGCAGTGAGAGGAGATCGCGCCACTGCACTCCAGCCTGGGCGACAGAGCGAGACTCCGTCTCAAAAAAAAAGAAATATAGAAAAGTTGAGCCTTGCCAATACCACAATCAAATTCAAACAACGAAATCATTTCTTGCCTATCAATTGATAATTTTTCAAAACTAGCCTGCTGGTGCTATCGAGAGGTGTGGTGAAAGCAGAGACTCACGGAAGTGTCAACGAGCACACTGTTTTATGAGCAAATTCATCACGCAGGAAGAGACTTTTTATTTAAAGAGTCCTATCTTCTGCCTCAGGAATTCTTTTGCAAATATATCCTAAAATAAGAAAAATGCATAAAGATTTTTATTGTTTTTAATTCTATTTTGTTTTTTGAGACAGGGTCTCATTCTGTTGCCCCGGCTGGGGTGCAGTGGTGTAGTCACAGTTCACCGCAACCTCCACCTCCTGGCTTCACAGGATCCTCCCACCTCAGGCTCACAAGCAGCTGTGACTATGGGTGCACACCACCATGCCCGGCTAAGTTTTTATATTTTTGTAGAGATGGGGTCTCACTCTGTTGCCCAGACTGGTCTTAAACTCCTGGGCTCAAGCAATCTGCCTGCCTGGGCCTCCCAAAGTGCTGGGATTAGAGGGTGAGCTACTGTGCCCAGCCATAAAGATTTTCATACAAAGATATTCACCAAAGCACTATTTACAATAATGAAAATGAAACCAATCATGAAAGTGAAGCCTGTAATCCCAGCACTTTGGGAGGCCAAGGCGGGTGGATCACGAGGAGAGACGATCGAGACCATCCTGGCTAACATGGAGTAACCCTGTCTCTACTAAAAATACAGAAAACTAGCCGGGCGAGGTGGCGCCTATAGTCGCAGCTACTTGGGAGTCTGAGGCAGGAGAATGGCGTGAACCCAGGAGGCGGAGCTTGCAGTGAGCTGAGATCCAGCCACTGCACCAGCCTGGGCGACAGAGCGAGACTCCATCTCAAAAAAATAAAAATAAATAAAGGAAAGTGAAAACCAGAAAATCCAAGTTTCCGACCAGGACCAGTGGGCTTGCTGAAGCAATGCTCACAAAACCGACAGCATGTGAAGAAAACAGGGTTGCTACTATTAGCAGGGCTTGTCACTGGGCAGTGTGGCTACCACTAATTTTTATTTTTACAAGTTTTCTGAAACATGTTAACTTTATAATAAGAAAGAAGTTATATTACTAAATGAAAAAGATTATAAAACAGTAAGGTACCATATCCATATTTTCTATGTAAAAAAATATACATATAAAAATACAAAGACAACAAAATGTAAAATAATTTGAATAATTCTAGTGTCATTCAATATTTTCTAAAATTTTTCTCAGACAGGGTCTCATGTCGCCCAGGCTAGAGTGCAGTGGCGCGCTCATGGCTCACTGCAGCCTCGACCTCCCTGGCTCAAGTGATTCTCCTACCTCAGCCTCCTGAGTATCTGGGACTATAGGCGTGTACCACCATGCCCGACTAATTTTTGTATTTTTTGTAGAGATGGTGTTTCGCCATGTTACCCAGGCTGGTCTTGAACTCTTGAGGTCAAGTGATCCATCCGACTCAGCCTCCCAAAGTGCTAAGATTAAAGGTGTGAGCCACAGTGCCTAGCCTTCTACGATTTTTATAATGAAAATGTACTGCTTTTTTTTTTGAGACGGAGTTTCGCTCTTGTTGCCCAGGCTGGAATGCAATGGCGTGATCTTAGCTCACCGCAACCTCTGCCTCCCAGTTCAGGCGATTCTCCTGCCTCAGCCTCCCGAGTTAGTTGAGATTACAGGCGTGACGCACTACACCCGGCTAATATTGTACTTTTAGTAGAGACGGGGTTTCTCCATGTTGGTCAGGCTGGTCTCGAACTCCCGACCTCAGGCGATCCGCCCACCTCGGCTTCCCAAAGTGCTGGGATTATAGGCATAAGCCACTGCGCCCGGCTTGTCCTGCTTTTTAAAAATAAAATCGTCAGACTAAGAATAAAAAAAAAAAAACCTTGAAACTGTCAAAGGGGGAAAATGCTGGCTTGTCCTGTATCAGAAAGGGCCTCCCATTCTTTGGGATCTCACATCTCTTGATCTCAGCTAACTCCCCTGCCTGTGGGATGTTATTTCCCATCCTACTCTTTCTTTTGAAAGCTTCCAGTTCACTCCCCAAAGCAGATTTCATCTTGTTCTCTGCCCACAATACCTAAATCTGCTCTTTCTACTTCTTTACTCTGAAGCTCCCCAGAACTCGTTGATGCCATTACAAAGCTCTATTGGGCTGGACTGGGGAGACGTTTCTAAGATGGAACGGGTGGGATTTAGTGGAAGACTTTAGACCTGGTGGGAAAGGAGAAGGAAGAACAGAGGTTTGTACTCTGGAGAGCTGGGTGGATGGTCAGCAAGGCGACGGGAGAAGCAGGTGCAGACTCTCAGAGGAGTTTCACACGGCCGTGGGCCAGGGGGTGAGGAATGAGGACGTTGGAAGTTCAGGACGGGTCTGGATCTGGGCACAATGAATGTCTGAGGAGTGGTTGAGGTAACTGGCGTGGATGAGGTCAGCCGGCAGTGGGAGAAAGGGCAAGCGGGCCCATGGGTAGACTCCTTGGGATTCCTCAAGAGGTAGGAAGGAACCTAAAACAGGAACACAGGCAGCAAGCCAACCAGTAGCTGCAGGGAGGGAGAGGGTAGTGGAGGCAGCGAGAGCACAGGCAGTTCTACCCTGGTGGCAGAAGTGGTCACTAACAAATGGTTTACCGCAATTTTTTTTTTTTTTTTTTTTTTGAGACAAGGTCTCACTTTGTTACCCGGGTTGGAATGCTACAGTACTCTCGGCTCGCTGTAGCCTTGACCTCTCTGGCTCAAGCAATCCTCCCGCCTCAGCTCCCGCAAGTAGTTGGAACTACAGGTGCGCATCATCACACCCAGCTCATCTTTTGTATTTTTCATAGAGATGGGGTTTTGGCGTGTCGCCCAGGCTGGTCTCGAACTCCTGGCCTCAAGCAGTCCACCTGCCTCGGCCTCCCAAAGTGCCGGGATTATAGGTGTGAGCCACCATGCCCAGCTGGTTTACATTTTTAATAAAATAATTGTCAGGGCTCACAATTAAGCAAATTTCTCACAAATCTAGATTTCTGGCTTCCCTCAAAACATCAGAAGATCCAGCAACACTGGGCACCTATTTTAGCATGGCAATAACTAGGGGGAGCTGAACACAAGCCACTGCACTGTATTTTTATTTTTTAATTCATTATTATTATTGTGAGACAGAGTCTCGCTGTGTCACCTAGGCTGGAGTGCAGTGGTGTGATCTGGGTTCACTGCAATCTCCACCTCCCAGGTTCAAGCGATTCTCCTGCCTCGGCCTTCCAAGTAGCTGGGATTACAGGCGCCCGTCACCATGCCCAGCTAATTTTTGTATTTTTAGTAGAGACGGGGTTTTGTCATGTTGGCCAGGCTGGTCTCGAACTCCTGACCTCAGGTGATCTGCCCTCCTCGGCCTCCAGAAGTGCTGGGATTCCAGGCTGAGCCGCCGCGCCCGGCTGAGAGGTTTCCTTTGAGAATGAAGTCCTCGTCTGTGCTCACCCAGAGCTCTCACTGAATACGGCCAGAGTTTGCTCCATGAAGCCCCCAAATAAACCCACATTTGGGCAGCCAGGCGCGGTGGCTCACGCCTGGAATCCCAGCACTTTGGGAGGCTGAGGCAGGTGGATCACCTGAGGTCAGGAGTTCGAGACCAGCCTAGGCAACACGGTGAAACCCTGTCTCTACTGAAAATACAAAAAATTAGCTGGGCACCGTGGTAGGTGCCTGTAATCTGGGCTACTCGGGAGACTGAGGCAGGAGAATCACTTGAACCCAGGAGGCAGAGGTTGCAGTGAGCTGAGATCGCGCCATTGCACTCCAGCCTAGGCAATAAGAGTGAAATTGTCTCAAAACAAACAACCCCACATTTGGCCTTGAAGGCAGGAATCCTGGGACAAACGTGTGAGGTAAGGATCCTGTGTCAGACCAGACAGGGACTCCCCTTTTCCCAGCAGGAGACACAGTTTCCAAATGGCCAGTCTCTGGCCACAGGCCCCTGCTCACCGGTGTCCCAGGAGGGGGCCTGCTCAGCAGTGCCCTCTGGGCGGCATTCTCATTCTCTCTGGACAGCGCAAGCTGCCATTTCCCTGGGGCCTGACTGGCTCCTCGCGCCAGCCAAGTGCCCCAGCTGGGAACTTCCTGGCTCTGGTTTTTAGATTCTGGGGCCACATGCCCTGAATGGGTCCACCAGATGGCAGGCAGCCTTTCCTCTTCCCAGACTGACACGAGTTCACATGCCCCACCTGGGGAGGAGGCCTGGCTGTTTCTCTGGCAATTGCTACCTTCTCCAGGAAGCTCAAAAAGCACATCAGTTTTATGTTGTTCCGTAAGTGAAATATTTGGAGCTGCCTTATTAAAAAAAAAAAAAGAATTAAACCTCTCTTTCATTATACAATTATGTATTGCCAAAGAATAATTTACCTAATAATCACTTCTTTCCTGTTGATGCTGGTCCAACATGTACTTTGACTAGACGTTTTATTTTGCACTTTCACTAACTACTTCATTATCTGCACTACTGCCAAATACAAAGTTCCGTGAAGATCTGGTAGCATAAATGAAGAATTCTAAGTAATTCCGCTGACTACATGTCACTCACTGATCATAGGCTGGAAGATAATATTACCTTAAAGTGCTAAATTGTGAAGGTGAAAGATGTTTTTTTCCTTCCCCGTGTCCTATCACTGCAGTCGCCGTCCCTAGAGGTGGGTCAGACGAGCCTGTAAGTGCATCTTCCACACGAAGAGTGGCGCTCGCCATACACTTCTGAGTTCTGGCACAAGAGCCCAGTCTTGACTTCTTGGACCTGAGTTCGAATCCCATTTCTATGACCGAGCTCTGTGGATAACCTTACGGCAGGTCACGGACGCTCTCTGAGCTTCCCTTTCCTTCAGCCACCACCACGCAGGAACATCACACAGGCTGACGGGGTTACTCAATGAGGCAGTATGGGTGGAAGGTGGACCATCAACACCGGCCCCCCGTCCTCCCTGCATCCCACGAAGGATGGGTTTTGCTCTTTGTCAGGGTGGTACTTCACACCCGCAGGCATACACGTGAGGTCTCAGCCTTTTCATCTGAGTCCACTGATGGAAGGTTTTCTGAATGGAAACGGAAAATTCAAAGAATCGGAAGAGGAGCAAGTGTTTCCACCGTCTTCCGGGGTCTCAGTCCTTCTCGCAGTTAAGCGCAGCTCTGACTCCAAAGCGAGCATCCTTATCTTTGGCATGAGGAAGACGAGGCTTAGGAAACAGACTTACCCCGTGCAAGGAATGGAACTGGCGGGAACCCAGGTCTGAACGTTGAAGCCTGTGCTCTTTCCTGCGTCTCGCTCCCCTGGGGCGGGTGGAAAAGAGGCTTGGGTCACACCTGCCGGCCCTCGCAGAGCATCGTTTGTGAACCAGTTCTGCCAAGTCCGACTGTACTTTTCCTCTACCCCTTCTCCGCTCAGGTCCCCAGTGAGGGAGGCACCCACAGCCTTCCTCTTCCCTCAGGAACCCCACGCTTCTGCCTGGATTGAGAGCGGCAGACAGGCCACACCTCCAAGGGCCCCTCGAGGGACAAGGGCGTTCGGTAGTCACAACGTAGTCCCTGGAGCACAAAGCACAGCCTCCGCCAGGCAGCATGAGCTGCTCCAACCAGCAATTTAAAACATCAGCCGCTGTGAATGTGAATGTCACAGAGCAGAGCAGGCACGCCGGGCACGCGTGACGCCCGTCGTCAGTGGGGCGGGCGCCGCACAGGCCTCTAATACTGTGCTGGCACTCACACCGCGAGCTGTGTACTCGGGATTACTAGGAAGGTTCAACACCATCAACGCTGCCCGCCGGAAGCAGAAGCCAATTCATTCTGTTCAGCCTCTTCTGGCTTTCACCGAGGTTAGCGCCCATTCAGCAAACTGAGTCTCCTGTGCACCAACTTCCCTAAAAACCATGTGGCCGTGACCCTTTCCTGAGGGGACCCCCCTATCGCCATAAAACTGCTGCACCTTTGAAATGCTCCTCCTTCCAGAGGGCTCTTGACTTTTCCCACCTGGACCCTCCTCCTCCCAGCGTGCGCAGCTGCTGGGCGGCCACATCTGATCCTGTACCGGAAACATAAGGGGAGATGGGATTCTCCTCGAGCCCACACAGACCCCAGGGTGAGTAAGATCCACGTTCTACCCAGAAACGCCCCTTGTGAGAAGCAAGGCCTGGCTAACCCACAGCATCTACACCACACAGAACCCTCACCTTCTCATATAAGCAACACACGACATGCATGTCAGCCAGCCAACCAGGGAAACCCCAAACAAGGGTCAACAAAAGAACACTGACCCCAGCTGCTTTCTTGGAGGTCCTGGTATGACACCTCCTGGAATATAAGGCTTTTGGAAAGTTACTGTTTTAAGATCGCTCAGCCTTTCCCCTCTAGTATCTTAACTAGATATCAAGAAAAACGTGATCCAAAGGACTGGCCCAACCTGGATATATTCTAGAGTAGAAGGACAGCCGGAAAGAACAGAAAAAATAGTCAGCTGGGAAAAGGAAAAAAACATTAAAGGGTCAAAAGGGATTATACCAGGTAAAGAGACCATGTCTCGTGTTTTTTGCCTCTTTCTACTTTTATTTTTCAAGTTTTATTTCTGTGAAAATGTATCTGTTTACAGAAAAATACAAATCTGGGTAGCAACTGGGTGCTTCCAGAAAACACCATGGACACAATTGTCTCCATTCCCACGGGGAGGTGAAGGCGTTTGATAAAAGGGCCAAGGGTGCCCTCGTGTGGCCACGGAGGGAAATGCCGCGGCTGCAGCAGAAAGGAGGGGCTCGGGGAGCTGGTCATGAAGTCATCGGCTCCCTTCTTTCAAAAGGCCTTGGATTCCCCACAGGCTTTTCCGTCTTTTCCACTCCTTGCAGTTTTGTTGTTCCTGTCAGAACTTAGAAGTTCGAGTGCTCACATGGTAAGCTTCGATTGCCATCGAGAGGAAGGGCTTTATGTTTTATAAAAAATATATACTAATCTACACGAAGCTTTGGATGAGTTGAAAGGCCACTGCAGAGCCGCAGCCCTGCCAGGACACGCAGCAGAGGTCTCGAGTGGGGACTGTGCGGCCAGGATGTGTGGGGAAGGAAACAAGCTGACGGAGGCAAAGCAGATTCCGAAGAACAAAAGCAGCTTCAGTTTGCCTGGAAAACAGGCTCAGCTTCTGTCAGCTTCTGTCTCCACTTCCATTATCAAGAGACCAGAAGCCGATTCTAGGGACCAGAAGAGAATTTAGGGTCACACCACAGAGATTTAATTTCATGCCAACCCAACAACATGAATGTGACCTCCGGACACGTAAGGAGAGTAACACTCAAGATGATGACGTATGAGTCAATAACCTATTTCTTCAAAGAAAACCTTTGCCACCTGTACCAGAGGTATATGCAATGACGCAACCCACAATTATAAAGCACATGCACGACCAAAACAATGTTTAGGTGTCCTTTCAAAAATATGTTGGATGTTCTCTCACTAGGTAGTCTAAGAAAATCTTCTCAGGGAAGGAAATGGAGACATCCAAATGCACAGAAGGCACTCGGCTCCAGACTGTGAAAGCCGGCCTGCTCATGGATTTTTTTTTTTTTTTTTTTGACCGTCTCCCTCAGGTTCTTTTTTTTTTTTTTTTGAGACAGAATCTCGCTCTGTTGCCCAGGCTGGAGTGCAGTGGCATGATCTCGGCTCACTGCAACCTCCACCTCCCAGGTTCAAACGATTCTCCTGCCTCAGCCTACTGAGTAGCTAGGATTACAGGTGCATGCTATCACGCCTGGCTAATTTTTGTATTTTGAGTAGAGGTGGGGTTTTGCCATGTTGGCCAGGCTGGTCTTGAACTCCTGACCTCATGCGATGCGCTCACATCAGCCTCACAGTGCTGGGATTACAGGCGTGGGCCACTGTCACAGATTTTTTAAAACTCTAAGATCATTAGCTTAACATCTATAAAATCTCCTCCATGACATGAAGCCTTAAACCTAGGGACAGAAACACACTGAGACACAGAAACACCGTCTGTGCTTCAGTACACGGAGCATTCTCTGGAAATCCCTAAGACAGACTTAAAGGCCAGTGCCGTGCCTGAAAGACGTTTTGAACAGGCAAGGAGTATAAGTCAATACACTCCTGTTGTAACATGGAAAAATACTTGTAAGATGTTAAATGAAAAAAAGACCAGAATATAAAACTGAATATGCAGCATGAGTACAACCAAAATTAAACCCACACACTCACACACCCCATCTATAGAGAGACTGGAAAGAAACGCGCCAATACCAATAGTGGTTATGTTACAGAAGGTTGGGACTAGCGGTGATTTTGTTGTTTTGACTTTCATTTCTCCAAATCTTTGATGAGCATGTGCCACTCTTTCATAATGAAACAAGCAAACAATAAGTTCTTACTACTTACTGAGTGAATAGTTGCTACTTAACCAATTATCCTAAAATTATACCAAGGAAACTAGGTTTGGGTCCAGCAAAGGACTCAAATGTGATATTCACTCGAGGTAAGGATAGTGGGATGGTGTGGGCTAGCACAGCAGAAAATTACTAGACCAGGGGAATCCACGGTCCTGAATTGAGTCTTGGCTCTGTGTGACCCTGGGTATTGGATTTTGCAGCCTGACACATGAATGCTTGAACTAGAATAATGATTCTTAACCCTTAGTGGGTTACTGACCCCTCTGTCTATGTCTGAGGGTTCTGGGAACCCTCTCTCCAGGAAAAAGAAAACACACACACACACACACACACACACACACGCTCACAGAACTTTTAGAAGTAACTCTAGGAGGCATATGGACTCTCTGGAGGTCCACGGACCAGTTACGAACACTGGTCAGAGGCCGGGTGTGGTGGCTCACGGCTGTGATCCCAGCACTTTGGGAGGCCGAGGTGGGTGAATCACCTGAGGTCATGAGTTCGAGACTAGCCTGGCCAACATAGTGAAATCCCATCTCTACTAAAAACACAAAATTAGCCAGGCATGGCGGCACGTGCCTATAATTCCAGCTACTCAGGAGGCTGAGGCAGGATAATCACTTGAACCTGGGACGCAGGGGTTGCAGTGAGCTGAGATCGCGCCACTGCACTCCAGCCTGGACGACAAGAGTGAAACTCCCTCTCAAAACAATCAAAAAGCCACTGGTCAGTATGCTGTCTTCTCTAGCTCCAGCTCCACAGCCAAACGAAAGCACAGTAGTTCCACTTCCTGTGTCTCTGCTAAGGGCCTGATCTAGCAGATGCCAAGATATGCCAAGGTCACCAGCTTCCTGTCCTAACCAACAGCCACCTCTCTGAAGGCCGGCTTAACTACTCAGCCCCAGTCTTCTTAGCAGATGGCAAGGAGCTCTGGCGAAGATTTTAGTCTAAAGAGAACCCTAGGTTGCTGATGCAACATCGAGCTGTTAAGTCAAGCACAGCAAAAGGTCACCCCTTTTCCGGGGGGGCTGCTACCGAACCCTGGTATTCCAACTAGAAACATGTTTTAAGGACACCCCTTTTCCGGGGGCACTGCTACTGAACCCTGGCATTCCAACTAGAAACGTGTTTTAAGGACACGGTTACTCCAGCCTCAGAACTCTCCAATGTGAGTAGGTTAAGTACAGAGGGGATTACAAGTGAAGCCACAAAAAACAGTATTTGATCAGCAACAAAATATCAGACTTTCTTAAGCTACCTACGGCATATACTATTTTGTTCCATTTCTCGTTTCCGTCATTGGCCGCTCACTCAGCTAACCCCAGGATTCAAATAGGACCACTGGTTTTTAATTTGTGAATATTCTTATATTAAAAACAAAACAAGCTCTACTTCAAATGTCCAGACAAAAATCATACAGTAGTAAAACTGCTACAAAATGGTACTTTCAACAGGCTGGAGGCGGGGGTACGGGTGCCTTCTGTGTGCCTCAGTCACGCCCGGGGGTTTTGCTTACCTAATTCTGTTTCTGAAATAAGAAACATCAAAACAGCCGCATGTCAGGAATGTGCCATTTACTGGGTACTCCGCAGACTCTGCTCCTCCTTCTAGCGTTACTAGGGTTTCTCTCCCCGATTCCCCACCACCCACCCACGGCTAGCTCCCTTCGTGGGAGTGACGCAAGGTAGGTCCCATCTCGAAGAGTGACCTAGAAGCGGGTACCAGGGCCTCCAACTGGAGGCAGAGCGAGCCACCCGTCCTCAAGAAACACCCCTGGGTGACAGAGAGAGCATGACACTCTAGGCAGTGCTGCCCAGCCCAGCCTCCACAAACGACCCTTCTGGCCGCGCAGAAGCAGTCCAAAGCTGAGGGGCAGCCTGAGCCAGCTTGCAAGCCCTCGGAGTTTACTGAGGGCTTTTTGTTGTTACTGATGACGGCAATGCCTCCTTGTAAACGACCACGCTACAACTCCCTGTAACTCAAAATGCGGGAAGGCGGTGGGGGGAAGTGGGGGACAGACTCATTGGTTTTTGTGTTTGAAGATAATTCCACATAATGCTACTCATGGGCCACTGGTAGGATTCCTCTTGCCACCCCACAGGCCACTGCAAAGCAAGTTACTATAAACACTTTTCCAACTGTGCAAGAAGTTTCTAGTTAACTGGCAACAAGCCTGAAAATTTGGTTCCGTATGTAGGTACAAAGCTGGTTCATCAAATCCCTGTTCTGGCCCTCAACCCAATGCATTTCAACTAAGGCATCGTCCACCTCCTTCTTAACGTTTATCAGACACTTAAACAGGTACTGTCCAGCCACTCCTGGGAGCCGTTTCCCCCTTTCAGCCACTGGGCTGCTCAACTGCTCAGAAGCCTCTTGGTCCTGGGCTCCATTGCTAGAGCCTTTACACCTTTCCAGAACCTCCCCCGCTCCCTTTTCCTCACTCCTTTCATCCTCCGTGGGCTCCGGGTTTTCCTCCTGGGACAGGGACTCCTGGCTCGGGCACGGGCCCTCCACGGCGGCAGGCTCGCCTTCCCGCAGATCAGGCCCACAGGGGGCCCTCTCCCGGGGGCCCCTGGCCAATTCTTGGCTATTGCCAGACTCTTTGGGGGTGGACTTTTTCTCTTCCAAGGCCTGAATGACGTCCTCGGGCGCGCGAGGAACTTCTCTCAGCTGTCTCACTCGCTCTCTTTTCTTCCTCCTTAAATGAATCCAGGAGTTCTCTATGGCCGTTAGGAAAAGGCTAACTTCCTCTTTTCCACAGGGAACCCGTTTATGCTGGACCTGTTTGGAGGAAAAACAGAATTTTATGGGAAATCACTTTTCCCCTCTCTCCAAACTCACAATGAAAAAAAAGAAAACAGAGAGAAGGATCGTTATGAGTACTTCGTCAGTATGGTCACCCAGGTACCTTCAAATCCGTGAGAATTTGTTCAATCCATGCTGTGACAGCCACGATGCCTTCCGCCGTCTCAGAGCCCAGGGACGATGCTCTGAGGGACAACTCTTTCATCACGGATGCCAGCACCACAAATGTAATGGGCTTCCTTGGTTTCTCTAATTTTCTCCGCTTACTTGGTGGTGACTGAAGAAAAAGGAAGCATGGAAAAGAGAAGAAAGTGATCCGAATAATTAAACCTCATGCATTGTAATGAACTCAGAGAAAACTTCCACAACTTCTGCTACCAATCACAGAGCACGGAAAACACAAAGGCTTTTGTATGTGTTATTTGCAGCACTTAAAACAACCCTGCAGGGTGCGGTCGGTCGTCCCTGCCCATAATCCCAGCACTTTGGGGGCCATGGCAGGATCACGCGAGCCCAGGAGTTTGAGATCAGCCTGGGCAACACAGTAAGACCTCCATCTCTAAAAAGATGTTTAAAACTAGTCAGCCACAATGGTGTACACCTGGAGTCCCAGCTACTCTGAAAGCAGAGGAGGGAGGATCACGTGAGCCCAAGACTTCCAGGCTGCAGTGAGCTCTGACTGTGCTACCACAATCTAGCCCAGGAAATGGGGTGAGACCTTGTCTCTTTAAACAAAAACTTTTTTTAATTAAAAAAATAACCCCACAAGATAGAGTTTTGGCATCTCCCTATTTTACAAAAGGGAAAACTAAGATACAGAAAGGCTATGTCGCCACAGCTCGAGGTCACATAGTAACCGCAGTTAGGACTGAACGCTCAACCCAAGTTCTTTCCAGCCGTACCACACTGCCTTTGTTCTGCCTGTCACGACGTAACTCCTCCAACTGCTAAACGTCCTTCATGTACCTGTGGTACCCAAAGCAGACCTGCACAATTATTTCTTTCATGACAACTCAAGGACCCTGGGGGCACTGTGTTCTTTGCTAGAAAGAACTGCACGGCATAAACATCGTCAAGTTGTAGTTTTGCGTTTATATTTGCTGAGGCTTGAGATAAAGCAGCCAGTGAACCACAGCTCTGAGATTACATGCAAGGAAGGATCAGGGCCACTCAGATCACATGGGCAGAGGAGGAGGACTCCTGAATCTTGGCTGACGTCAGGACCAACCCAGCGGCGAGCTAAGCACTGCCGTTTAGCTGGGGAGGGTGACACCAGCACTGATGAGAAGACTGGATTTGAAAGCTGGTTCCAAGAAAATCATGACTGGCAGCTTCCATTCCATCTCAAGCTGGGAAGGTGAATTATACCCTATCCACTAGAGGGACTCAAGTTCCACTTTAAAAACCAGTGGCACCGGCCAGGTCGTGGTGGTTCATGCTTATAATCCTAGCACTTTAGGAGGCCGAGGCAGGCAGATCAGTTGAGGTCAGCAGTTCAAGACCATCCCGGCCAACATGGTGAAACCCCGTCTCTACTAAAAATACAAAAATTAGCTGTGCGTGAGGGCGCGCACCTATAATCCCAGCTACTCAGGAGGCTGAGGCAGGAGAACTGCTTGAACCCGAGAGCCAAAGGTTGCAGTGAGCCGAGATTGCGCTACTGCACTCCAGCCTAGGCAACAAGAGTGAAACTCCGTCTCAAAAAAAACAAAAAATCCAATGGCACCATTGTATTGAAAATTTATTTTTTTATTTATTTTTGAGATGGAGTCTCACTCTGTCACTGGAGTACAGTGGCGCAATCTCAGCTCACTGCAAACTCCGCCTCTGGTTTCAAGTGATTCTCCTGCCTCAGCTTCCCGAGTACCTGGGACTACAGATGCATGTCACCAAGCCCAGCTAATTTTTGTATTTTTAGTAGAGACAGGGTTTCACCACGTTGGCCAGGATGGTCTCGATCTCTTGATCTCGTGATCCACCCACCTCGGCCTCCCAAAGTGCTGGGATTACAGGCGTGAGCCACCGTGTCCAGCCTGAAAATTTCTGTCTTTAAAGTAAAAACTTTAGGCTGGGTGTGGTGGCTCACGCCTATAATCCCAGCACTTTGGGAGGCAGAGGCGGCCAGATGAATTAAGCTCAGTAGTTTGAGACCAGCCTGGGCAACATGAGGAAACCCCATCTCTACATAAAATACAAAAATTAGCTGGAAATGGGGGTCCCAGCTACTCAGGAGGCTGATGTGGGAGGATTGCTTAAACCTGGGAGGTTGAGGCTGCAGTGAGCCGAGAGCCCACCACTGCATTCTAGCCTGGGCAACATAGGAGACCCTGTGTCAAATAAATAAGTAAGTAAACAAATACAAGTAAAAACTTTCTAAATGGCATTTTTAAAAATGACTCTTAGTTGCTGGGTAGAGTGGCTCGCACCTGTAATCCCGGCTACTTGGGAGGCTGAGGTAGGAGGATCACTTGAGTCTAGGAGTTCAAAGCTGCAGTGAGCTATGACCACGCAGCTGTTCAGACCAGCCTGGCCAGCATGGTGAAACCCTGTCTCTACTAAATATACAAAAATTAGCCAGGCCTGGTGGCGCACGCCTGTAATCCCAGCTACTCGGGAGCCTGAGGGAGGAGAATCACTTGAACCCGGGAGGTGGAGGTTGCAGTGAGCTGAGATTGCGCCACTGTACTCCAGCCTGGGGGACAGAAGGAGACTGTGTCTCAAAAACAACAACAAAAAGGATAAAAAAGAAAAAACGGCCGGGCGCGGTGGCTCAAGCCTGTAATCCCAGCACTTTGGGAGGCCAAATTGGGCAGATCATGAGGTCAGGAGATTGAGACCATCCTGGCCAACATGGTGATAACCTATCTCTACTAAAAATACAAAAAATTAGCCGGCAAGGTGGTGGCACACGCCTGTAGTCCCAGCTACTCGGGAGGCTGAGGCGGGAGAATGGCGTGAACCCGGGAGGCAGAGCTTGCAGTGAGCGGAGATCGCGCCACTGCACTCCAGCTTTGGCGAGAGAGTGAGACTCCATCAAAAAAAAAAAAAAAAGAGACAGACAATTCATACTCCAGGAGTTCTCAAGCAAGGCTTTTACATGATGAAAGATTAACTTAAGTATGGCTCCCAGCAGTTGTTCAGTCCCCCTCTCGTTTATCAAAATTCCTAGTGGGCAGGGTCACAGTAAAATATAGGATCGAGTTCTAAGAAATTAATAGTTAAATTCAACACCATAGGTCTCTGGTCGTAGGCAATTTTTACATTTTGCCGCAAACACTAGTACGCAGAAGCTGTCAGTTTTCCCCCAAGTGAAATGATCTTATTTTGCTAATATCCTTGTAATTGCAAACCACAAATATTTTAAATGAAGAGTGCTACACTCAAACTGTCATAATCTAGTGTAGCAGGCAAGGCATACATAAATAATGCAACATTTTAAAGTCTACCCCAAAACCAATCATTTACAATGGCTAATCCAGTTTAATGCAAAGAACTAGGTGAATTTATGGCTTATTTTTGATTTGAAGATGCACTGCTGGAATTACAATGTGAGAGAAGCCTGGTGAGGAGTCGTAGGTCCACAGAGGACACAGGTTTTACATCTTTTGAATTCCAAGTAGTCAAGGAATGATTATCAATAAGGGAGGAACCGCAAGCGTTAAAAACACATTAGATCACAGAAGCCATCAATCAGGCAAAAACGAACAAACAAACCAACAAAAAACCAGTTCTTAAATTTTAAAATATGCTACGTAGCAGGGTGGTCTACAAATTTCTTTTCTTGTCTGTTTTTTTGAGACGGGGTCATGCTCTGGCACCCAGGCTGGAGTGCAGTGGTGCAATTATGGCTCAGTGCAGCCTCAACCTCCTAGGCTCAAGTGATCCTCCCACCTCAGTCTTCTGAGTAGCTGGGACTACAGGTGTGTGCCACCGTGCCTAACTAATTTTTGTACTTTTTGTAGAGATGGGGATCTGCCATGTTGCCCAGGCTGGTACAAATTTGAGTCTTCACTTTAATTTCTAGATCTCAATGGTGCAATCAGCCAAGAAACTTTCACATGTGGTGTAGTTTGACACAGATCAGTGTAGCATGTTATATCTCTGTTAATTATGGCTAAGGCAAAAAAAAAAAAAAAAAGCCACAGGCTGAATGAAATCATTAAATTCTCTCTAGTATTTGCAGGAAGAGAAGAGCCATTCTACATAGAGATCTGATGCGCACGAAGTCACAACCTCTTTGTTTTCACAAAGCAGCTTCTAGAAAAACCTCAAGGGGAAAGGGGACAGGGCAGAGAGGAGACCCCAGTGCAGTGGCCTTCTGTTTTTTAAAAAGAGATAGGGTGTTACAATGTTGCCCAGGCTGGCCTTGAACTCCTGTGTGCAGGTGATTCTCTCACTTCAGCCTCCCAAGTGGCTGCAGCTACAGGTGCACATCACCACACCCAGCCCATTTCTTTCATCTTAATCTGACAGGTCGTTGTTCAAAATGTCCTGAAATCATCCCCAGGATTATGTTAAAACAGTAAAAAGTAAAAATAGCAGCCGGGCGCCATGGCTCACGCCTGTAATCCCAGCACTTTGGGAGGCTGAGGCGGGCAAGACTCTGTCTCAAAAAAAAAAAAAGTAAAAATAGCGAAGGGGAAGAGAATCACTGCAGGATGTACCTGTTTGAGAAGGGATGTGATGAGTATAACACACGCATGTATTTCCTGGGAATTTGACAAAATTGGGACGGGCGCGTGGTCCGCCTGCCAGATTCCGCACTCCTTGGCAGGAAGGCAGGGCAGATCAGGCTTGAGGTCAGGAGATCAGAGACCAGCCATGGACATGGGGAAGATCCCCATCTCTACTAAAAAATATGAAACAAACAACGACAAACAAGGCCGGGGGCAGTGGAGGCGGACTGTGAATCCGTAGGGCTGCTCCGGGAGGACTGAGGCAGGAGAATTGCTTGAACCCAGGGCAGGGCCTGCGGGATGAGCCGACATTGTGCACAACACTGCAGCCGGACAACACGGCAATCGACTCTCGGCTCCAAAAATTAAAGAAATAACGCAAATAAGAGGAATGCAGTAAAAGTAGTAAGAAGTTGTGTGTAAATAGTACCCAGGAGGAAGTAAAGATTGAGGCATGAGGATGATTGATAGGAGATTTAAACGGATAGTTAGAGTTTTGATTTATATGTCTTGAGATTTGGATTTTTTTTTTCAGTTCACAGGTTATGATTAATCATTAGTTAAGTGATCATTGT